GCTGTTCAAAGTAGCTGGTCTGGGTACCAATGAGAAAAGAAACTTGTGTCTGAATGTAAGTGCATTACTTCCTTCATCAAGAAAGAAAGAACAATAGTAATAAAAGATTCAAGTCTGTTTTAGGACACCTGGAACAGAATGATGAGAGAATGAAGAACAGGGCACTTAGCAAGTCAGTCAAGTGATGGAGAAGATCAAGACTTTGGATTTGGTTAAGGAGAGGTGAGAAGAGATCAGAGGGAATCCTGCATCCAAAATTCCAGGATGTGGGGCTAAGGAGATAGCGTAGTCAGGGTTGGAGCCAGAGTTTACTTGAGAAAGGCAGGTTCCTTTTCTCCCCCAATTACAGTTGACATTCACTGTTATATTACTTTCAGGCATACAGCATAGTAGTTAGATATTTATATAATCCCTTGGATAAGTCTAGTACCCCCTTGACACCATACAGTTATTACAACATAATAAGGCAGTCACTTTTAAAGCCAGCAAGGACCTTGGGAAGTCCCCTTGCTGCTTAGAGATGTGTTTGACATGGCATCTTGAAGGAGACAAATACAGTCTGGCTCAACTCTCTAACTGTACGATACCTTTTTTGGTAGGTTGTGGATTTCAATGTTTTTATGCAAAAATTATGAAAGGAAGAAAGGTGCTCCAAATGTTGGTCACAGTCTTAGGACACATTCATGTCATTCTGTTGGTATCACCAGCCAGTGTTCAGCAGTGCCTTTGGGATGCTTCAAGATGACATAAGGTCTCTCTTTCTTGCTGTCATGGCTAGTTTGGTCCTGAACTTCTATATCCACACTTTCTCGTTCAGCCAATCCCATCCAATTCAAGTCCTTCAAGTCATCATGCTTTATCTCACACCTGGGCCTCTCCACTGGCTAGTCCTGTCTGGGAGGTTTCTTCCTCCAAACTGGCTGGCCAGCTTTCAGGTTCTCAGTTCAAATGCCAGCTCCATAGAACCCACTTCTCTGGGGATGATATAAATTTATAGTCTGTCCAGCTCCACTGTTCTTTTTCATGGTGTCTTGTTTTGGGGCTTCATCATACCTACTGACTTGTAGGTTTTGAGATGGTGTATTTTTGAAAATTAATTGCCACTTTATCAAACATTATGTATACACATATATTTTTTAAAAAGCATTGAAAGGTTTATAATGAAAAGAGTGCTCTGTGTACTAATCCCTACCTCATTTGGTCCTGCTCACCAGACAAGTCACTTTTTATCTCTCTTAATTATTTCTTATGGCACATGCCTCTATATTTCTAGCAAATATGCTTATATTGTTATCTATTAATTTATCATTATCAGGCTTCCACTGACTTTCTGCTCTAGTAGATGAAAATTTAGAGCTTTTATACATTTCATTTCTTTTAATATTTATATCATACTTTTGGGGTAAATTTGATCCAGTGTTTCTATTTTTATGATCACGCAAATATTGTTCACTGCAGAGTCCAAATAGTGTCTTATGATCATTTCTTTTCTGATACACCTTGTATTTCCTGAATTAACAATTGCCTCTTTATCCCCAGTTGGTTATTTTCCCCATTTATTACCTTTCCTCACCCATTCTATCAGATCAGTAATTTTTTTTTTTCCTTTTTAAATCAGGGGTTGACAAACTGTGAAAAAAAAAAATCACATGGTAAGAATCTTACACTTCTCAGTCTAGACCCGTGGTTGGCAAACTGCAGCTCGCGAACCTGGGCAAGTCTATTTTGAAGAAATACTGTTGATATTTGGCTGTGTTGACTAATGAGTTTGCCGACCACTGGTCTAGACAATCTCTGTTGCAACTGCTTAGCTATTGTAGAGGGAACACAGACAAGGGCAATGTGTAACTGAGTTGCAGACAATATGTAAATGAATGTGGCTGTTTCAATAAAACTTTATTTGCAAAACTAAGTAGCAGGCAGGATTGGAACATGGGTTGGAGTTTGCCAACCCCTCTTCTAAATGACAACATGTATCAGATATTAATTTGTGTCATTCTTTTTTTTTCTTTTTCTTTTCTTGCAGCCCTTGCCTTAAACTTCCCCCCTCTCCTGCTGTCTGTACTGCCCCGCCCTGCCTGGATCCTGGAATTTCCCCACCCTGCTTTCCTATTTTGGACCCCTTGTTTCTTGGATCTCTGCATCTTCCTCTTTCTTTGCTTAGCTGGAGGACATCCTCAAGTTACTTCCTGAAAAAGAGGGTGTGTATGGAGGTAAACTTTCTGAATCCTCCTTTGTTTGAAAATGTCTCTATGTTTTCCTTACTTTTGTTGAAAGTGTAGCTATGTAACGAATTCTATATTCAAACTTTCCTTCGAAGTTTGAAGGCCTTCTCCGATTTTTTCCAACTTCTAGCATGCCCAGGAAAAGTCCGATTGCAATCTCACCCCATTGGTTTGTATGTGATCTTTTTCTCTTCCCCTCCCCCATCTAGAAGTTTTTAGCATCATCTCCTGAAATGCCATGGGGATGTGTCCCAGCATGATCCTTTTTAGCCCAGGCTCTATGCCGGATGTACGTGAGTCTGGAACTTCTTCAACAATTTCTCCAGACACCAGCTCTCCTGTCTTTTGCTTGTAAGGTGGCTGTCAGGCTCCGTGGGGCCAAAGGGGGCATCTAAGGGTTTAACTTTTCCTGTGTCCAGATGCGCAGCCTCCTGCCCCTTGCTTCTGCGGAAATACAGGTGTCGCCGCCTCACCTTGCAGGCCTTCTGCAGGGTGGGTGAGATGTTCAGCATTCTCCCCCACACGCTTTAAGTTGCTGTTTTCTCCACTCTGCTAATATGATCATTGCTCATTTATCTAGACCCCGTCTACCAAAATTTGATTGTCATTTGTTGCCCACTATACCTTAGACGTTTCTTTGGTAATTTCACGGGGAAAAGAAAACACTATAAATGCTGTGCTCAGTTTGCCATGTTTCCCCAGGAGTTCACAATTTGCATGATATATGCACTTGTCTATAAAGCCTGCCTGCTCCACCTTGGAGAGGAGGCTGTGTCTGCTTATTCACCTACTGGATCCGTAAGGTCTGGCTTAAGTGGGCCTTCTACAGATGTTTAGTGAACGGGACAAGTTGTGTTGAGTGGAATGGCTTAACAGGAGCAGAGGTCTTGGTGGGAAGCGCAGGGATGATGCTGGGAGAAAATGAGACCAGGTTATGAAGAACCTTGAGCACCGGGTCAAGGAGCTGAAAGGCTGGGGAGGGTTTTCTATGATGCTGGAGGATGGTGGGTGAGGAAGTATTTTTCTGGCTGTGATATAAAGGCTAGTTTGAAAGGAGTACACATGTAAGGGGATAAAATGTCATGAACTAGCAGGAACCCGTGAGAAAGGAGGAGCTGGACTGCAGAGAGCTGTGGAGGCAGAATCAGAGCATTTATGTTCTGATTCAGGGATTCAGTATGGGGAGTTAAAAGTGAACCTCAGCCCGGCTGACGCGGCTCAGTGGTTGAGTGTCAATCTATGAACAAGGAAGTCATTGTTCCATTCCCGGTCAGGGCACTCACCTGAGTTGTGGGCTCAGTCCCTGGTGGGGGTATGCAAAAGGCAGTCTATTGATGATACTCTCTCATCATTGATGTGTCTCTCTTTCTCTCTCCCTTCCTCTCTGAAATTAATAAAAATATATTTTAAAAAATATATCTTAATAACTGGTGGCTCCATTAGCAGAAAGAAAGGACCATAAAAATGATTTGTCGGGGGAAGGAGAAGAGTAGATAATCATTTTTGTTTGTTGTATTTGAGGCAACAAAGGAGCATCCAAGGGAAACATGCAGCAGGCAGCTGACTATTCTAGAGGTAAGGAATGAAAACATAGGTTAGGAAGTTATTCCCCCAGAGAAGTCAAAGGAGAGTATGACACGAGAAAGATTCTTTTTGCATAAGTCACACAGATGACAATAGACCTCACCCCAGGATTGGAAGTCAGACCTGTCTAAATCTGTTCTCAGGTTCCACCACAACAGTGGTTAACTCTCCAACTCCCTCCCAGATGCAGCCCAGGAGAGCAGAGGCATAGGACTGGCCTTAGGAAAGCTCCCATTTATGGGACGGGGACTTAAGAATGAAGGCGAGCAGGGGAGCAGGAGGCTGATGAGTTCTGAGAGAAGGATGCTGGCGCCACAAGACTTGCAGAAGTCTGGACAGGAGGCAGGACCTGGAAACCCGGGTAGGCCTGGCAGCCTCAGCAGGCCAACTTGGCTTCAGCCAGAGCTGAGGTCTGCCGCAGAGCCCGCCTGCTTTCGCTCTGAAGACTTCCCCCAGAGCATCAGCTGCACTTTCTTTACTTACACTTTCCATCCTGCCTGTTGCTACAGTTGAAGCCAAAGCAAATGATGGCCACGTAGCAACTCTCAGAACCAGGACTGACATCCTGCCTGGTTACTCTCTCACACTTGTTCAGCCCAGAGCAGCCTGAGGGGCTCGTGGGCAGGTGGGAATTAGAGATTTTTCAGAAGTGCCCCATGCAGGGAGGGACTCCTGGGCACCTCCCCCCACAGCCCCTTCCCTGTCTCACACTGAGGGTTCATGGCATGCGCTGAGGAAGGAAGAGGAAGCAGTTGCCCTGAGTGTAGGGGCATGGACTGTGTAGGTTGTGAAACGATATGAGAAACCTCCAGAACCAGCAAAGAAAAGTTTTGTTTCTGGAATTTGGAATTCAGTCATTCACACTCAACATTTCTGTGACTAGAGGGTGAGATAAAAATCTATGTCATCCCATTTGTTTTCATCTTCGTTTTAAATTATCAGATTTTAAACAGAAATGATCAGTGTGATATTGTTTCCTTTTCTAAAATGTGGTTTAATTTCATAAAGAGCCGAGTAAGACGGCACAGCTGAATCATAGGAAGTGTCAGCATGCAAGCTCTGTGCCTGTGATTGCAAAACCCTGGCCGGGTACCCTTGCTATTCTTGAAAAAGGGTTCCTGAATCCGAGGTTTGTGTTTTTCATGAAGGCATTTTCTCTTCTCTTTCATACAAGCTGCTTTTGGTGAGAGGACAGCACCTACAACCTCTCTTATTTCATGGGCGAGAATCTTTAATCTAGCGAGAAAGCATGGGTCTTGGGTTTGAATCCCACCCATTCCTCTTTCTTCACTGGGTGACATTGGAACAGTCACCAAACTTCTCTGAGCCTGAGTTGTCTCTCTAAAGTGCAGATGGGAAAACAGAGTATATACATGTCTATATATACATGATGACTAATACATTGTTAATGATTATTAGATATTACATGTATGATTAATTATTGTGCTTCTGTGATTAATGTATTGCTGGTATTTAGTACATGCTGACATCATGTTCATCCCCCCCCCATTGAATAGGACTGGATAATTTTTTTCCTATTGCTAGTCACTGACTCACCAAAAAAAAAAAAAAATCAATTTACTGTATGCTGTTAATTCAAGGGAGAGAGTTGTGGGTGTTTGTGTTTTGGATGCTATTTTTAGACATTACAAACATGTTCCATCCACTGGATTCTGAAATTAAAATTGAAGAACACTGTTTATATCTGAATCATATATTACAACAGATGAAAATATATGCATGAGTTCAGGTCTATATCATAGGCATTTAAAGGAGAGAGAGGAGAGAAAGGGGGAGAGAGAGACAAAGGAGAGAGAGAGAAGGAGGGAAGTACTAAGGGGAATAGACACACAAAATTGGCAGATATTTAAAGGACACAGCAAGGGCAAGCTTCACTGGATGTAAGCATTAGAGTTTGCACATTTGGGGCAGGAAAGACTTCATAGAGGGAGTGATGCTATACTGGGTCTCAAAGGAAATGCAGTGACTTATTAGCAGATAAGACTAACTTATCTGTGGGTATAAAGGAGGTTAAGAGTGTGTTCTAGGCAGAAGAAAACGCTAAATGGCTTTTGGAATGACCCAGTCCTGTCTGAACTGGGAACTGGTTTACCTGAAGCACAGCTCTGTGTGCTCTGGAAGCCAGGGTGGCAGGTAATCAAGATCCTGGATGCTGCAGGCAGACAGATGCGGATTTAATCTTGACTTACTAGCTGTGTGGCTTTGGTCATACTGTTCCTCCTTTCTGAGTCCTAGCTTGTTCATATATAAAAGGAGGATAAAACTCAGGAGTGTTGTAAACCAAACTCAAAGGCTAACATGGGCCAAATTAATGAGGCATGCAGCCCGTGGGTCACGAGTTTGACATGCTTGTTGTAAACTTTCAGTGAATTGTCAAAACACATGTAAAAGATTGGTGCATTGCCGGGCACACAGTAGGCCCTCACACTGAAACCATTATTTTCATTTTAGCATTTTGGATCTTAGTGGCACTCTGAGCAAGTTGGGTCAGATGTGAGAAGTAATCCCCTGTAAAAAAAAAAAAATAGGTTATGACTTTTCAACTCTCCTCTGAAACTTCTTAGAAACGTTTCTGAATCACAGTTATTCAAGTATCAATGTCAAAATTTTCCTTTGGGGTCTATCCCTCTGTATTTTCTAAGGCTGGAATGAAATCAAACCACAGTTGAGAGAGTCACCGTATTTGTTGTAAATTACCTCGAGGTGAAAAAACCTTAAAACATTAGCTCCTGAGAGCAGAGCTCTTCAGAAGGCTACCAGCCAGCCATACACTTGGTGCAAAGCTGTTTCAAGCCTGTAGTGATGAGTAGCACCAAGGATACCCAACGGAGAGGATACTGTAGCTCTGGGTTCGCTCTCTCAGCATAATAGATGCTCATGTACAGAATGTAGAGAGAGCAAGTACAGCCACGAGACTAATGCATGAATAGAAAGAAGTCATTTTCAACACAGCCCCACTTGAAGTAACCTTTCTTTCTCTTGTAGGATGATTAACCACATTAATCATCTGATCTGGTTGAGTGACACTGAGTGGGTCTCTGGTTTATAATCTCTCCTTCACAGGTAACACAGTAGGGTTACAACACAGCGTCCAGGTTTGCTCTTTATTGAAAACCAGGTTTTTTATATAAAACCTTGTTAAAAATGCAGAACTAGTGCAATTCACATACATTTCAGAATTCAAGTACACATTTGATTTTGCTAAGAAATACCATGAATAAACACAGGCAAATGAGATCTAAATAGGCACACAAGTAATGTCATTAATAAACTTAAGAGACACACATGTATTAATAGTTGAGAAAAATTTTCTCCAATTATTATGTAAATTCTGGACGCTGGCATATATAAATTATATGAGTAGAGGTGTAGACATGTAATTAGCCTGAAAGAAGTAGACGGATGATTATTACATATAGAGTGACTATAACATTGTGGAATGCTGTTTTTGTTTGTTCTGATGAGAAAAATGTGCTACTGTTAATATTCTCTGCAAAAAAATACAGTATGAGCAAAAAACACAAGAAGAATAAAAATAAAGATGTATAGGGAGGAAGCAGCTAACAGTCACCTTTGATCCTTTGTCATTGAAGTTTTCAGCTAGATATTTTAAGAAGGAAAAGTCATTCTCATATTTCATTACTAAAAAAAGGCAGTGACACTTGTGTTTTTATAGAAGACAAATTTCTAAATCTTAGCTAACCTTGACATAATAACCATCAATACTTCTAAACACTATGTGCTGGGCAGTGTTTTAAACACTTTAAACACACTACTTATTTAATTATCATGATAGCCAAGTGATAGGTTTAATTATTCTCCAGGAAAAAAATGAACTACAGAGCAGTTAAAGCAACAGGCTACAGGTCATCTTGCTGTGAGTTTGCCAGGATTGGGATCTGGGTTCCAGAGTCTATGTTTCCCATCACTACACTGGACTACATCTTTCAAACAAAAAAAAAAAGAAATTTAAAAAATATTGTGTGCATTTTAAATAATTTACATCAAGTACATTTTAAAAATTTGCTTACTTTTATACTTCTGGGAACAGATTCAGTAAATTGCCTTCTACACAGTGTGTGCTTTTTCCTTTAGACATTAACAGGAATATACTATATCAGCCACTTATTGGTACACGAATATCTTTACATTCAATATTCAAAAAATAGTACCTTGCATCAGACATGTGACTTTGATTCTTAACTACTGTATAAAAGCATATAATAATACAACTGTCTGGTTCTACCACCACCAATCCATGGCCTCCCAGGGCCAGGCCGAGGGTGGAGCCTGTAGGGCTAGCATCTGAGGCCAGGCTGGGTGAGGAGCTGGCAGCCAGTGGAGGCCAGGCTGGCGAGAAGGCCAGACTTGTTCTTTATTTCCCTGTGCCTTTGGCCATAGTTGGTCTTAGGCCCATTGTTCTCAAAGTTGAGTGTGTATCAGAATCTCCTTGTTAAAACACAGATGGCTGGGTGCCAACCCCAGAGCTTGTGACCCAGTAGGTCTAGGGTGGGGCTTGAGAGTGCATTTCAGAAAGGTCCCAGGTGCTGCTGGTCCAGAAACACACATCAGGAACCACTGATCAATTGAGCTATCTTAGTATTAGTCCTTCGAGTTACCCATCTCCCCCAACCGTTTTTGTGTTTACTGAATGTAATGAATACTGGATCAGGGCTTGTTTCTATCCTAAAAAAGAAAGGAATAATAGTGTAGGGGGGAAATGAAGGTATTCTCTAATATCTGAAGATCCGTTGTATCAAAATAAGAATGGGCCCTAACCGGTTTGGCTCAGTGGATAGAGCGTCGGCCTGTGGACTGAGGGGTCCTGGGTTCGATTCCGGTCAAGGGCATGTACCTTGGTTGCAAGCACATCCCCAGTAGGGGGCGTGCGGGAGGCAGCTGATGGATGTTTCTGGCTCTCTGTCCCTCTCCCTTTCTCTCTGTAAAAAAAATCAATAAAATATATTTAAAAAAACAACAACAACAAGAATGGGAGGTGGATCTTACCAAGTGGCCCATTATGCCCCAAACTAAACAAAACATTTTTAACCATTTAAATTATTTGAAAACGGGCAGCTTTTGGTTGAAGATGATAGATTGAACACACATGTATCCATGTTCTCTCCTACAATGCCAATAAAGTGACAGTGACTGAACTTTTAACACCATGTATGGCATAAATGCTCAAGGACAAAAAGGAGAGAAGGGATGACAACACTGAAAGCTGGAAAGCAGTTGGACAATTGGTGCTAGCAGACCCAAAAATCCTGTTTCATTAGCTGGCAGAAATGGGAGCAAAGAGATTTGTACCCTAGAGCCCCAGAAAGGTTCTGGATTCCAGAACTTCTGAACAGGGTGAAGGTGGATCAAAAAGAGGAGGACTGGTTGAAAATCTGTAAAAGCAAAAAGACCACTAGATCACCCCAACCAACCACATCAGGTGACATCTCTTCCTACTCCCTGGCATGTACTGGAGGTTTGCCCTTTCGAGAGTGAATCAGAGGCGCTCTGGGCTAGTGGACACCAGGTGCATCTGGAAGAAGGGGTACCTTACAGAAAACGGGTGGGGGGATTAAAGAAAAGCCAGCATATGGAACTTTTATAACCCCAGTCCTCTTCCCATACAAGCTCCCAGGATCTTGACCTTCAATGTGTGCTTTCCAGGTAGCAGTATAGTGTTGGGATTTAGAAGGTATTCAACCGCCGGTAGCTGTTACACAAAAAGATTGGTAAAGGATGGAGGGGTTTGTGGTGCAGGGGAGGTCTTTTGAAGATGTCCAAACTGAGTTTAAGCCAACAATATTACGAGGCAGCTACTTAGCACCAAAGAGCAAGCTCTAAGCTCTGATGATTCAATAGTGAGTAAGATTCAGTGCTCATCCCTCAGAACTAGATGAGAAGGTTGGGGGAAGGAACAGCATGTACAGACAGTAGTGAAACAGCATGCTGAGTTTGTGGAACTACACAGTTCAGTGCTTTTGGCATGGAAAGTGTAGAGGCACAGGGAGTGTGGGAGGAGGGGAGGCCAAAGAGGCGCTCTTGTGTTTACTTGTACTAGTTTTCTCAAAGTTTATTATTATTTCATACGTATTTTGAATCTAGATAAATGTTTTTGTGTTTTTTTCCATCAAAGACAATGCATTTCTCTAATTGTTGATGATTTCTACTATCTCTTAATAAGCTTGTTAGCTTTTGAGGCTTCCTCTTCTATAAATGGACTGCTTATATCCTATTACAATATTCCCAATGGGGCAGCTGTTTCTTGTTGATTTGCATGATGTCATAAAATATTGTAGCTATTAATCTCCTCTTGTGTGCTTATTTTAGCAATGAGGAATACCCTTCAATTGCAAGTCCTGCTTCAAGATGTAGCCATAGAGTATCAAACAGAAGAATGACCTTGAGACTGGAGACAGAATAAACTGGTAGGCTTGTGTGTGACATATTTATGACCTCAAGGACCACTGGGATTATGTTGTCATTAAGTCTTTACCCTTCACCACTTCATTCACCTGCCTAATCTTCAGCTATAGTCACGACATATTACTATCATTACCATTTTGCTTTTTATTACACAAATGAAAAACTGGTGACAAAATTATTATAAACCACCCACAACTCTGCCACCTAGAAATGACTGCAGTGAATCTCTTGGGATGTATCCCAATCCCTGGAAATAAATGGCTGAGAAGATACTAGCATCATTAAAACATATGGGCCCCCCTTCTACCCCCATGCTCTAGATTAATTCGCTTGTAGGACGTACATTTTACTATGGTTATTTGTTCAATAACTATTTATAAATAACTATTTACTAATGGTTATTTGTTTAAGAATTATTAGAACAGGGGTCAGTTGACTTATGTTTTAGTTTCATCTTTGATTTGCCAAAGCTTTCCCCTTTTGAAAAAGAGTAGACCTTGACAATCTTGCAAAGGCATTTTGACTTTCTTCTGTTAGTGACTAGGAGCCATGGAAGGAATTGAAGTGGTTGAATCATCCAAAACAAGTTTGGTAGAGGCAGTTCTCACTGGAAGCAATGGTCTGTGACTATAAGTGAATGAAAATAACATTCATTGTGCTAAAGGTGTTATCCATTTTACTGGATCTTTTCAGCACTATAATATAAGGATAATCACCCCCAAGATAGAGATAAGAAATTGAAAACTCATTGGGATTAAGCGATATGATCAAGGACACACACAGGAGTAGGGAGTTAAATCCAGCACGTTCAACTTGCTGGTTTCTTTCCAGGCACAGAGGCTGGTTCAAAAAGTATGTCAGCAGTCTAGGTGGGATCAGTTTCTATTTGATGGTGAGAGGTACAAGCACTAGCAGACTGCATTCTTACAGCTGTAGCATTGGTTGCTGGCTGTCCCCAGGGGTTTTTCCCTATGAGTCATACACAGCAGGGGAATCCTGAGGGAAGCTCAGCTTCTATTTCTTGAATTTCAGAGTCCAAACAGACTCTGTAGTGATTGCAGATAGAGATCTGCATCCTTGCCAGCAAAGAGGTTGAAGGAAGGACCATGGGTAAGTCCCTTTCTCTCTGGACCTCAGATTTCTTAACCACAAAGGATTAAGTGATCTCTGAAGTTTTCTTTCATTCTCATACTCAAGGATCCTTCATCTTGCCTAATGTGATGTTGAGTTCTAGGTGGGACTTAATAGTGGTATTAATGATTTGTAGGAATTGAACCAATAGAATATCATTACACATAGACATGGTTAAAAATAGGCTGTAGGCAGGCAAAGGACCTGAATAGACTCTTCTCCAAAGAGGACATACAGTTGGCCAATAGTCATATGACAAGATGCTCAATGTACTAATCATCAGAGGAATGCAAATTAAAACCACAGTGAGATATCACCTCACACCTGTCAGAATGGCTGTCATCAATAAGTCAACAAACAACACGTGTTGGTGAGGATGTGGAGCAAAGGGAACCCTACTACACTGCTGGTGGGAATGCATATTGGTGCAGCCACTCTGGAAAACAGTGTGGACTTTCATAAAAAATGGAACTGCTTTATGACCTAGCATTTCCACTTCTGGGAATATCTCTGAAGAAACCCAAAACACTGATTCTAAAGAATATATGCACCACTATATTCATTGCAGCATTATTTACAATAGCCAAGATTTGGAAGCAGCCCAAGTGCCCCATCAGTAGATGAGTGGATACAAAAATCCGTGGTACATTTACACAATGAAATACTACTTGGCCATTAAAAAGAAAGAAATCTGCCTGGCCAGCATGGCTCAGTGGTTGAGCATCGAT